CACACACACACACACACACACACACACACACACACACACACACACACACACACACACACACACACACACACACACACACACACACACACACACACACACACACACACACACACACACTCTGGTTAGGGCCCGACGGATGTGGGATTTTTTGGGGCTCGATTAGGGAAAGAAAGAATCACATAGCGATACATCGGCCGATATCTCTGACTCTGACGGTACCTTCAGGTGGTGTCGGATACATCGGAAGAACCAGCTTCTGAGTTGTAAAATGCTCATGAACATTTGCTCTAGTCGGAAAAACTCGGAAACTTGGAAAAGACTTTCCGACTTGCCGTCTTAACGTCAGAATCTTCATCACATAGGCGGCAAAATACGTCCAGTTAATGTCAACATACATTTTAAATAATTCAGGTATCACACATCAACTTTTTCCTCAAATATAACTTTTAACAGTTACATAATTCCACTGATCTTCTTCGTTCAGACTTTCTGTCGGAAGAACGATTTAACTCGGAAACTTGGAAAACCCAAGCAGCACCTGAATGCAGCATGACATGTCACTGAGGCGGTTTATCCTCTGCTGGATGAGACACTTTAACAGTAAACCCACTTCTTTAGGCACATCTACACTACTGCCTTTAATGTCTCATAGCCTGTTAAATGATCAGGAATTACTTAAACAAGCAAATAACCCGAAGCTCGCAGAAACATCTTACATTTTGACAAACTAACAGTCAAAATCCAAATTAATTACAATCATTAATGACCAACAAATGCTCCAAAACCCCAAATATTCATCATAACAATCATCATAAATGACATATTAAAGCAGCATACTTGATATAAGGAAGCTGGAGGCATCAAATGTTTGTCAGATTTCTCGATTAACCGACAGCAATTCGATTAACCGTTGCAGTACCGCTACAGCTGAGTCAATGTAGAAATGTTTCTGACTATTGAACGAGATTATTTCTCTTTAACCCAGATATTTCAGCCTCATATAACACTCTGTATTCTTTGTTAATCCTCCTTAATCACGAAATATAAATTACTATAAAATAAATGAACAATATGAATCAAAATAAATTAGAAATCATTATTATTGTTGGTGTAAAATGTAAATGTTATTGATTTCTTTCACACTATGGCTCTGCTGACACACACACACACACACACACACACACACACACACACACACACACACACACACACACACACACACACACACACACACACACACACACACACACACACACACACACACACACACACACACAACCCGTTTTACTATAATATCCATCTCTCCACACACGCTCCACGGACAAACAACAAACAAATAAACCGGAAACACATTCACACCCACCTTGGGATTGTGTGGCTCTCCGTTTAATCACCGGCGATAGGAAAACGTCAGACCGGTAGATAATAGGTCGGTCACGGTCGGGTTGATATCAAGCCCTCGGTGTGTGGCTCCGTCCTCCGTGAATCTCCGGTAGAAAACGGGCGGAGTCGTGATTCCCACTCTCCCTTATTCTCCATTCATCACCGTTTATTAGTAATAATCCTGCCCGTCAGGCGGCTGGGGGTCTTTTCTCCATTATCCCCTTCCGTCCTGCCGGTGAGCACGAGCTGACGTCTGAGAGGAGCTCCGGTGGCACGAGTCTCATCCGGCGACGGGAGGTGATGAATTATTCACCGTTAGGGGCGTGGCTAACGAAGTGTGTGTGTGTGCCGCACAGACAACAACAGATTAAACCAGCAGCTGTCATTATGAGGCGGTTATGATGTGCAGGGCGACATCTAGTGGCCAGAAAGATAAACTGCAACCAGAAACCACATTTAAAAAGTCTGTCCTGGGCTGCATCCGAATTCCCAAGTACCTTCTCAATCTGTCAGTAGGCAGTACCTACTACCTGCTGTTTAGTACCTACTATCTGCTGTTTAGTACCTACTATCTGCTGTTTAGTACCTACTATCTGCTGTTTAGTACCTACTATCTGCTGTTTAGTACCTACTATCTGCTGTTTAGTACCTACTATCTGCTGTTTAGTACCTACTATCTGCTGTTTAGTACCTACTCAATCTGTCAGTAGGCAGTACCTACTATCTGCTGTTTAGTACCTACTATCTGCTGTTTAGTACCTACTATCTGCTGTTTAGTACCTACTATCTGCTGTTTAGTACCTACTATCTGCTGTTTAGTACCTACTATCTGCTGTTTAGTACCTACTATCTGCTGTTTAGTACCTACTATCTGCTGTTTAGTACCTACTATCTGCTGTTTAGTACCTACTATCTGCTGTTTAGTACCTACTATCTGCTGTTTAGTACCTACTATCTGCTGTTTAGTACCTACTATCTGCTGTTTAGTACCTACTATTCAGTAGGCAGATATTTGTCCCTACTTCTGATTCCACATCCACCCGTTTTTATTTTTTATTTTTTGTTCAACTTTATTCAAGAAGAGTAATGCACATATACAGTCAGGTAAACAAAACACAATATCACAATGTAAATCAAGTGAAAGACAGATTGAATAACTAAATAACATACAGTACATAAAGAAAAGTACAAATGAAAGACGGTAATATATATATATATATAATATATATATATAATATAAATGTAATATACAGAATATAAAATAAACCAATAAAGACCCATTTAAATAGTGAAATCATTATTTAAATAGTGAAATCATTATTTAAATAGAGGGGGAAAGGTTTTATAATAATGCAGATATTTGTTTTATTGTCTGTTGTTAATTTAAAGTAGTGATTTCAGTCGGGACTTTAACTCTAGATTAAAAATTGATTAAATTAATCCACGCTCGTTTGTTTTGATTTGGAGTCGGACGTGACGTGACGATTTACGTTTAATTTCGCACAGCATTGTGGGTAAAATACAATTAATTTCTTGAAAGGATGCATCCGATCCATACTGCATGAAACCTGGAAGTTAGTATCCACACTGAAATGTTCAGTATACTGAGGTGGACCCAAAATATCCATACTGAATGACCATGAAAGTTCATTATACTGAAACTCCATACTGAAAAGTACTGCCTACTGAACTGTGGATATTCAGAAAATCCCCCTCAAACATGGCCTCTCTCTCTGTGTGGAGTTAACGTGTTCTCCCCGTACATGAGTGTCAGCGTGTGGTTCTCTCTGGGTACTCTGGGCTTGAGACATGCTCTGGGATCAGGTCCAGCCCCCTCCCCACCACCCTTAACCTGCAGGAAAAGCGTTATAGATAAAGTATGCATGGACATGTTCTGTGCTGTCTGATTAACTCTGTCACTTAATTCAAAACATCACAGAGAGCTCTCTCCCCCCCCTCCTCTCTAGAGTGGATGCTCACACAGGTCACCATGTGGTGGACTCTGAAGCTTCAGTGTTTATCCAGCTCTGCATGGGTCTGTAAACCTTTCTGTGTTCTAACCTCTCTCCATTTTTCAAAAGCATCTCCAATATTGATCCTAGTTTGAGCACGTTTCTGCTCGTGGAGCTTATTAGAAACATGCAGAGGCTTTTTAGGTCGGGTACAATCACTTCTATCTGAACCACTTCTCTTGACCGCTTCCATCGCTGCAACACCTGTTGACCTGATAACTGGTGCTGCCTCACCCTAACCCGAACTGCTGAAGCTGTTACAGATTACCTTATAACATTAAATGTGTGTAAGCTAATGTGCAATCATAGTGGATAGCAGATCAAACAAAGTTATTCTGAAGGGAGATTCAGGCACAAAAAGTAAATAAATCAAACATCCACACACACACAAACAAGTCATTTATTTTTTAAACAGAGGAGACATAGCAAACTGTTTCACATGGTTTTTTGGGGCTGGCATTGTTGTTAGACTCAGGTCAACTTCACTTTATAAAAATCTTAAAATAAAATCAACCATGTTGTATTTACCGAAAAAGATAGCAAGCATATTTTGTCCAGACAATTGATATTGTATCATCTAGAGCTGTGCATCTTCACTGGTCTTAGGATTCAATTCGATTATGATTATCCAGTCAACGATTCGATTTGACATCACGATGCATCACAATTCATCCTCAATTTTCAATTTTACTGCGCATGGCTACTTTTTCACTCCTTTTGTATAATTTAAAAAGTGATTTAGACAACAATGTCATTATCAATATCTTTACATTGTAAGTTAAAATTAATACATTATAAAGGTAGCCTACAGTATAGGTAAAAAGTAGGCTATAAGTGTTTTTGTGTTTAGTTTATTACACAAGAGAAAGATGTTTTTAAGTCTCTCTGTTTAGGTAAAACAAACTCACTCAATGCTGCGCAATACAACCACATTTAGCAATTAGCAGATGCTTCTTCTAACCCTCGTCAGCATCGATTACTTCCTGTCCCTGCATCGATGCATTAATCGTCTAGTCTGCATCGATTAAATGATTAATTTCAACAGCCCTGGTATCATCCAAGACTGACTGCAACATCTCCCTCTGTGATGTGCTGTGTGTACTTGTGCAATTTAGACAGTGTGCGGGATTCTTCCTGCAGTTTCTGATAATTCAAAACAAGAAATGACCCAATTCTGAGAGCCGGTCTTTGGCTTAAAGGCTTTCTATGTGATTTTTCACACTTAAATGTAGAAATAAATTATCTCCTCTGAAAATAACTCTGTGAGTCATGACTGTCTACAATGGGTGTAACACCCGAGTCCCACTGTCTGTGATGCTTTCAGAGTTTTCAGAGTCCTATCTTCACTTTGTTTACATCGCCAGGACGGCCGGCTGACTCCTCCCCTCGTGTATAAAAGTTGTTTAATTGAGGGACTAGAGAAAAGAAGAATAACATACTGTACTCACTGCTTAACTGTGTTTCTAGATCACGCTCATTTCAGATATAAAGCTTTTAAAGTTGACAGTGCTAAGTGTTATAAGTTATAAGTGTTATTTATTTTTGAGAGAAAACGATATGTTGGGTTTGACAGGCAGCAGGCTGATCATTTGAAGTGCTATCAGGTCATGCGTGAATAATGTCGTAGGTGTTGGAGAGGTTTAAGGCTTGCAGAATCTCTGAACTGATCACAGAGTAGATATTCGCTCTCTCGAAGCCGTTGAAGTCGGTGGCTATACTGACAGAGTACGCCCCCATGTGGTCGACGAGAAGCCAGTCTCCGACGCGCAGCTCTGGGAACCAGTAGCTGTCGGTGACTTTGTCCAGGCAGTCGCAGGTCGGACCCCAGACCACAGAGGGGTATCTTTTCTCACTGTTGTCAACGGCCTGTTTTAAAAACACACAGGTTATACGACCATCAGCCACCAATCCATCTGTTTTAATCTAACAAGGTTGTTTTTTTATATTTACCCTGTGTAGGTACGGCTCCACCGCAGTGTGAGCGGCATCATTGATGAGGCAGCTTAGGGAGCCGTACACGCCATCGTTAAGGTAGTACATCATCACCTTGTCGGGGCTGTTTTCTTCATCATTTGGAAAAAACACAAAAACAAAATCATTAAACTGAAAATGGTTGAAAATGAAACAAAGCCAATAATGACATTTTTTATTATTGGTCCATGAGGAAACTCGGCACACAATAAGTAAGAAGACAGAATTCTGTATATAATATTTCCTGATAAAGACATTTAGAGATTCACACGAGAGCTGTTTGGTCCGTTTGAACTCTGGTGGCATGGGGTGGTGTTTGGTTGATTTGCCAGTTTAACCTCACACAGCCGACAAAAATCTTCATTTTTATGGATCAAAATGTTGACAAACTGCACCACGCTATGGAACGCCATTCTTCCATTGTCCTGCTGTTTACTATCAGGTCATAGTGCAGCATTAGGCCGGATGGCAGAAGCCACTGATTGGAGCTAGAGCCCCGACTAGTGGCGTTTGACAGGCTTTAGTGCGAGTCACAAAGTGCAGAGTGAACGCAAAGCGAAGCAGCAACGCTGCTACTTACATGCCCCTGGGTCCACCAAACTTCATGAGAAAGTGACCTTGGTGACAAGTGGGCTATAGGACAATTATTGCAAACAGCATCGCCTTGTAATTTAAATCAACTTTAACTTTTACTCTCTGATGTACATCGCTTTGGATAAAAGCATCTGCTAAGTGAATTGTAGAACAAAGTTTTGATGCAAAACCATAACATCTAGTGAGGATGTCTTTATACCTTAACGTTAAACTTCTATACCATCTTCTACTACTATCCAACGATGCAAAAGTAGAAGTCCTAGGCTTCCTGTGTTGGGTGATTTTTTGTTTTCCATTATCAAAAATGGAGAGCAAACTCCTCACTATTTCCAAATCAGGGTTTCTGAAACTTATTTAGACCATAGACCCCTTTCACGTGAGAAACTTTTTCCAAGGACCCCCCTCATTATCATAACATTGATAAGCATATATTAATACTATGTAATAATGTACTATGTAGTACTTTGCAATGATAGAATTAGGCTACATTTATACTTTACAAGTAATTCATTTTATAAACTTTGAGAAAATGTTGGCTCCGAGGAGTTTTTTGTTTTGAGTTTTTTTTTTCTTGTTGTTCACTATAAAGTGACATGTCACGATCATACCAGAATTAATCTAATGGCATAAAACTTAAGTGGGAGGGAGTATTGGACAAAATAGCTAATTTTATTGGTGCAAGAGGTCCCAGTTTGTAGATATACTTTTTCAATGATATAGCACACTTTTACAATTGTTTGTAAATTATTACGCGGACCCCCAAGCTATGGTTGGCAGACCCCTGGGGGTCCTGGGACCCCACTTTGAGAATTACTGGTCTAAATTATACAAGGCCAATGGAAACGTTTCTGTACCAGAACATTGCCAGTGAATTTGTGCAGTTATAAGGTTGTGTAAATGTTGATGGATTCTTTTTTCTCATTAAGAAATAGATGTATTTTATTTAAAGCTTTGGTCCTTTTTGATACTGTCGATCATCCACATAACAGATTATAAAACATTTGGACCGCCTTAATCTATAATTTGGGTTAGGATTGCAAAGACTCGTCTTCATTCATCTTTACTTATTCACTGCTAAATGCTAAGCTAGGTTTTAATGGTTTGTGTCATATGTGTAGTTTACTGGGAAGCCAATTTCCCACCAAAGTGAACCTTAAAGTTCATCCTGACTTGTTAAATAGGCTTCATAAGATCTATACTTGTCTGCAAAGTTCTCCAACGCCACCTGTGATGACTCTTCTAGCCATGACGTTGGCCGCCAGTGTGAAGGCTGATTCCACGTAGTACCGCCCCGGTTCGGCAATGACCTGCACCCCAAAATCAGCGGGAAAGTATTTCTCGAGGGCGCTGTTAATGACTTCTGAAAACTGGGAGAAAAAGCAAAAGAGCATTTCATTTAGAATCACAACTCCATCAAGATTTCAGATATTTTCGCTCACATAAATACAAAATGACCTCCAGGAAGTTGTCTCCCTATTATCCTTCTTTTACCTCTTCAAATTTCACTTGAAAGTCCTCTCTCCCAGAGAAGCCTCCACCGATATCCAGGAGACGCATTTGGAACCCCATCAGATTCTGAAAAAACACATCGATGGTCTTGAGCTTGTAGAACAATTTACTCGTCTTCTGACTAATCAAAGCGCTTTAACACCGCAGGTCACACCGACACATTCACTCCCTGATGGTAGACCTTTCTGTACCAGTGACCGTAAGAAGTAACTAATCCATTCATACACATTCATATCCCGCAGACGAAGCAGCGGGAGCAACTTGAGGTTAAGTGTCTTGCCAAAGGACACATCAGACATGTGGCTGCAGGACCTGGGGATCAAACCCCGACCTTCCAGTTGAGAGACGGCTGACGCTAACACTGAGCCACAGCCGCCCCAATATAATAAAACACCCTTTATGAAGAGATATGAGTTTATTCTATTGGCTGCAGCATTCTGGTTTGATCAATCTATTAAATATCTTGATTGACTTTGGGAAAAGATGGCTAACTTTTTTTCTAGTCAAGTCAATCAAGTTGTAAACACTCCTTTTCTATTATCAACTGTATTTCTTTGAAGGCTCCCACTCCTTTTCCTCACGAGAACGGCTGACAATATGCAGACGACTCACCGCTATGTCAAAGACTTGCCGGGCATCGGCTATGGCTTGCTTGAACGCCCCACATTCAGTGCACCCACTCCCCACATGGAAGCTGACCCCAATGACCTCCAAGCCCAGCTCTCCGGCACATTCCAGCAGCTTGTCAACCGTCTCCAGCTGAGCTCCAAACTTCAGGCTGAGTCTGAGCAGAGCCTTGGAGTCGTCCACTGCGATGCGAAGGATCAGCCTACAAAAGTGATGCAAAGATTTCTTCTGATCAACACTTCATTTCATTGAGAGTTTATCCAAGAGTTCATCACGATGACAGTTTAAACTTTGATATGCTACTAGCAGGTCACCTTATCAAGCAGAGATAACAACAATGATACAAAAAGACAAAATGTACAGCTTATCAAATCTGACACAGGCGTTGGGGATCAAATCCCCCACCTTCCAGTTGAGAGGCCACTGAGCCACAGCGCTCGGAGTGATCAATATTGAGAGAAAAACTGTCAACTTTTGAAATTGTGGATCTGGTGCCAATGAGGAGAACCTTGTTTTTGTCCAATTAGAGGAAGTGCGCTGGAGTTTGCCTGCAACTTTTGATGGATTCATTCCACTCTGCCTCGCATTTCTAATGAAGTAGGTGCTGTTTCTTGTTTTTTTCCTTTTTTTCTTTGGTACTTTTTCAATACTATCAACCTAGCGGAAATTGTATCATTTAAAACAAATGTTATCGAGAAGCATCAAACTTTTTGACGTCCTAAACGTAGAAGCAGAAACATCACACTCACTTGGCTTTGGGATGACCCTGAGAAATCTTGAGGAGTTCATCCTCACTATCGAACGTCATCATGTTGACTCCACGGGAACAGGCGTATTTGATGTGCGACCTCGGTTTGGTGGTATGAGCGTAAATAATTTTGTCTGGCGCCACTCCGAGCGACAGGGCCAGCTGAATCTCGCCCTGTTCCAACCAAAAAACGTGTTTGGAAAAAAAGAAAACTTGTAAGAAAAGGAAGAGAAGGAACAACCTTTTCTTCTGTGATAAAGATCGAAAGCGTTTGGAGCGTTTATTTCTCACCTTGCTTGCACAGTCAAAACCCGTGCCCAGAGCTCGCAACATCTGCATGACTGCTGGTGTGTTGTTGCACTTCACCGCATAGAAGGGCTTGACTCGAGGTAAGTTGTTGAGCCACCTGAGGTGCCTCTTGAACATACTATCCAGATTGGCCACCAGGAAGGGCTCTTCATTTTCCTGACAGAATAAAGCAGAATTAACATTTGATTAAAAAAACCCCCAGCATTGATCTCCAACTGAAATGGTACCTACCCCCAAAGCAGTCTCTTTAATTTTGATGTCTATGAAATCATTGATCGTTCTTCCACGTGTTTGGAAAAAAAGAAACTTGTAAAGAAGGAAGAGAAGGAACAACCTTTTCTTCTGTTGATAAAGATGAAAGCTTTGGAGCGTTTATTTCTCACCTTGCTTGCACAGTCAAAAACCGTGCCAGACGCATAGAAGGGCTTGACTCGAGGTAAGTTGTTGAGCCACCTGAGGTGCCTCTTGAACATACTATCCAGATTGGCCACCAGGAAGGGCTCTTCATTTTCCTGACAGAATAAAGCAGAATTAACATTTGATTAAAAAAACCCCCAGCATTGATCTCCAACTGAAATGGTACCTACCCCCAAAGCAGTCTCTTTAATTTTGATGTCTATGAAATCATTGATCGTTCTTCCATTGTCCAAAACGTCGATGTCACAATTCTCAGGGGACAAAACGTATCCGTGTGATCCGTTTGTCGTTACCGCTGCTGCTGACAAGAAATAAAAGAAATGAACTGTACACCAACAACCACCAATCAGTTTTAACTTCAGGGTTTGATCAAAGGAAAAGCATCTATAACACAAATAGGACATACAGGTTTTCCTACCATGGCTGACATGCTCTTCCATATTTTGCGAGTCCAATCAGTTGAGAGTCAGAGAAGCATTCCTATGAAACAGAAGTGGAGGTATGTTGGACAGTAGGTAATCACCCAGTCCAACGAACTCTCACTCTCCTCACATCATGTGGATTTTGTTAGCTCTGTTTTTCTCCTCCTACTACTTTAAAAAACCAACAATAAAGCTATTTACCTTTAAAACCTGTTTTTTTTATTAACTTTTTTATTATACATCGGCAAACAAGAGAGTTGTTAAACAGTCTAAACACCTGAGGGGGGGAAGCTGATTAACATACATTTAAAGGTTTGCAGTCAGCTGTTGTTATCCGCCACATCACCCTGTTAGATAACTGTTCACTAACTTAATTACTCAGCTTTTTTTTTTAGATATATTTTTTTAGTCTTTTTGCCTTTTTTTGATTAGACAGTGAGTTGGAAACCACAGGGAGAGAGATTGGGAATGCCATGCCGGAAAGCAGCTGCAGGTCAGATTTGAACCCAGGCTACCTGCTTGGAGATGATATCCTCCATGCATGGGGCGACCTAGCCGCTAGGCCATTGGCGCCCCAGTGAATAGCTGTTTAAGAAACTAACTTTATCCCAAAAAACGTAATCAGTAGTTTTTCACTCAGCGTGTTGTACATACAGGCCTGTGTATACTGTTCATGCTTTCACAACATTTTACTGCAGTCAGATGAACATAAAGCCAACTATCAGCTGTTTCTTTTTTTTTATTAATTTTGGATTTAGACGGGACATGTTGCAAACACAGGTGTGAAGAACAGCAACCTGGGGCGGCTGTGGCTCAGTTGGTGGAGTTGTCACCTCTCAACCAGAAGGTCAAGGGTTCAATTTCCAGCTGGGCAACATGCCCAATGTGTCCGTGGGTAGCAAAAGACTAGAAAAGCACTGTATAAACTCAAGTTAATTTACCATTTACCAAACAGACACAGAAACTGGGAGTTAAAGCTAATATGTCATAATCAAACTACAAATTAATTAAAGGCGTGTTTTCCTTCTACTCACAGGAATGATGTGGAAAAATAGCCTCTCAGTGGTGGTCTTGACTGGTTTTGATATCAAATCCAGAGTCGCCCAGTCTGAGACGGAGACAAGACTCAATACTTTCGATTACGAGTCATGACAGAGACCTTCAAAAAGTGGTCTCGAGACTAAGACCGATCTTGGGCACTACAACACAAGCACCCACTATTTCCTTCTTCTGTCAGCAGTGTCTTTTTAATCTTCTTTAATTTGCTTTATTAAAAGTTGACTTCTGAATCCTGCTGCTTTCCTCCTGCACACGGTCTGATTAAACACATACTCAAAGATCTTATTCTTTTAAAGCTTTGGTAGTATTCTAATTCTATTCTTGATAGCCATACACACATAATATTGATATAAAAGAGCAGCATCAAACTGTTTACAAGCCACAGTGAAGATACACCCAATCACTAAAGCATCAACACCTTCTCATAAGTGCTGCTGAAATCTTGATGAGAGACTTGAAGCTCATTATTCGTAATATGTTTGTTTGTCAAACACATCATGAAGAATGAGGAGAGAAATTTCACAGCTCCTGCTTTTACACAAAGAGATCTCTGTGACACACATCCCTCCCACAGTTCCTTCTTTAGAGTCCTTTAGCATTTCTTAAGTAGGTTTACAAAATGTGGACGAAACAGACAGACAGCCTGAGAACATAATGCCATGGGCGATGTCTGTCTTCAACCTGGAGCCGTAAAAAATACCCACATTTTGTGACTTATTTGAAACTCATTGATCTAGTTTAGGAAGGATTGGTATCAAGTTGTAACATTGATCATTCCCAAACAGTAGATCTTACCAAATTTGTTTCTGTTTTGTTTTGTTGTAACACAATTGTAAGGTTTACATTTGGTGTTTAAAAAGGAAAAGGCCTATGATTTTAATGCAGCTTCAGATTTGACTGCTCTATTAACAACCAGGATAGTTGGACTTATAAAAGTTGGGAAACTTTAATAAGGGAGGACCCGGATATCCTGGACAAATGGACACGTCCTTTAAGATGGCTTTACTGACATACAGCATACGTCTGAGTCAATAATCCACTGTTTACCGTCACTGTTCATGAGGCAATGACTCTTGGCTGCAACCAAAAACTACAAATACAAACAAACCTCTGCACACACTAGACTTGTTAGTCATAGCTTGGTGTTTAACATTGTTTGCAGGATGGCGTGAGAACAAACCTTGCAAGTCTTCAATAAGCGATTATATTAATTAAACTTCATTCTATCGGTGTTCTCATTCTCGCATCTAAAAAAAAATGCCTATTGCCTATTCCTTTCCCCTTGTCCTTCTTTCCAAGATTTCTGACATCAAAGGAATATCAGTGATGTTTCCCTGAATGCATTTTCATTGCAATATGATATGATACAGCAGGTATAAGACGCTGGTAGCTCCATATTAATGGAATTGCAGGAAAAGTATTTAGTCCAGATGAGTACAGTTTGTCAAGATGTGTAGCTGTGCAGCCTGCCTCGTAAGGAAGTAGCTAATCATGCTCAAGAGAAGGAGGCCCACATATGATCCTGGAGGAACATCTGTTGTGCGTTTTTTGGGACTATTTTTTGGGGTATTTATGTGACTAAGCATGAAGAATGATACTGGACATTTTTTGAGCGTTTGATCTGCTGCAGTGTTTCTGATTTTGTGTTTGGATCTTGTTTTGTCTTTTGGGATCTTTATTTTTCCCTGAACTAAAAAATGGTGAATTGGGAAAATATTTCAAAATGCCTCTTAGGCTTTCTGTATTTTTTTTTCTTGATATGTTCTCAACCGAGAAGCTGATGTTTGTTTATTAATTTGATTATTCAGAGCTGACGTCTTAATGATGATTGGTAGGGTTGTAGCAACTTCCTATTTATGATGTCATGCCCATGTTGAGGTCTCCCAAAAAGTTGCCAATAAATGAATATACAATGAAAATACAAGTGACGCCAGGATAGATCCCTGGGGTACTTCTTGTGTTGATTGCCATAAAGGGTGACATCACCAGCAACAACTGATTCACTTATTTACCAATAATTCTGGGCAGCAGTAGCTCAGTCTGTAAGGACTTGGGTTAGGAACCAGGCAGTCACAGGTTCAAGTCCTGGTGTGGACCAAATCTGGAAATTTGGACCAAATCTGGAAGTTTGGTCTGGAAGCAGGTGCCAGTCCACTTTCTGGGCACTGCTGAGGTGCCCTTGAGCAAGGCACCAAACACCCCCACCACCACCAGCAGCAATAGCAATAAATAGCAGCCTTTCCAGGCTGAATAATTCCAGTTAAAAGAGATTAATTAATGAGATGAGCTTCTGTTTTAGAAATCAGTGGAAAAACATTGTACAGAGCTGGATTCTTTTATGTCAGCTGTTCACTGCCTGTCATCCTGTCTTATACAAATAAGAGGAAGGCCTGGGGGACCGGACCCTTATGGCATGTCATGTCACACTTTGTAAACACATAAAGTGTAAGCAGTTTTGTACACACTTTCTGTTTATTGAGACATAATCCAAAAAACAAACAACATCAAAGAAGAGCGTGGCCACACATGCCTTTGGGTGCTCTTTTTTATATCCAATTGGTATATAATGCTTGAAAGCAGTATCTTTTATGGTCTTAGTGGTGCTGCTCCTGTGGACATCTCAGACATGCAGGACACAACAATTCAAAAATTAATTCCCCTTTGTTCTAGTCATTAGTGAGTGTAAAAAAAGTGCCTAAACACAAATAAAGAATAAACAAACAAAACATAAACAAATAAAACATTGACATTCAAGTAGGAAGACTTGCCAGAAAAGGAGTTGCAATAGATTCTTATGAACACCTTGGAGGTCGCAGTACTTGGTTTGAAGTTTTCAAGAGGAGGGAGTCCGAATTCTCAGGCTGCGTTTCCTTAAGTTCCTTTCGATATTGACTAGAACACAAGAAACAAATTGGTTAAGACTGAAATTATATGATGTTATCTAAACACAGCTTTTAACAAGACCAGCTGTTTTATAGTTTTCCGTTTTCATCCGCCCCCTCACCAAAACTTCCTCCTGCCGAGGTGGATTCAACAGAAAGATGCAAAGTGGAGCGAACATGATATTTACGGCTCCAACTATTGCCATGATCCAGGGGAAGCCAATCGATGCCACTATGGGACCTGAAATAGCTGGACCTTTGGAAAGAGGGAAAAGGAGAAAATACTTCAAACCTTGACAGAAACAAGTAGAGTTTGACCGATTGAGTGACCATCTTGTCTTCATTATATATCTTTTCAAGAGGTGTTTGAAAACTGCATTAGAGGGATCAACATCTTTATCTATCCATCTCTATATATCAAACATAGATCAAAGGAAGATATCGGCCGATTTATCGGTATTGGATGTTCTGACCGAAAACTCCCCATATGTTTTCGGTCAGTGCCTAAAACAAGGGGACTGTGAAGATATAAAAATTGCTCACCAACACAGAATCCAATGCATACTGCGACATCAGCAATGGCATAAACAGAGCCATAAACTGGCTGATGTCTAATGTCAACCAATCTACCCATGAGGGGCATCATCGCCGAGTCCACTATGCCTGGCAGAAACAAGATGACAAATTATGTTGTTTCTTTATTGTCATTTATTAGATGAACATCAACCATGCTGCATGACTTACCAACTGAAAAGCCAATAAATGCGTTCAGAACAAGCAGGTGATAGATGTTCTTGGAAAATCTGAACTGAAAGACAAAGAGAGAAATGTACAGTCATCGGTGAAGCTTCATACTTTAATATCGTGTTATTTTGTCCCTTTAGGTGTACCGTAGATAAATCACTGCAATGCCTCCCTGTAGTCACAGTGTTGGTAAGAAAAATGCTGCTGCACCTTTGAATATCTTATTTCACTTAAAAACTCCTGGACAGAGATCATCGACCTTGTTACATCAAACATTTAACTTTTCTATTCTCCTAAACAGTTTTGATGTCCTCTAACGAGTTCCTTATTCTGAGTGACGTCACACATCTGTTCCTGCGGGGGGCTCTGGAGGCTTTACTAAGTAAAACAGGTGTCAATAAAATATTGACATATGCAGTTCATTCATCCCTGATTATTTTACATCAAGTGTTGACATTAACTCACAGAAATTGTTGTTATTCCTGCCATGATCATTCCAATGCAAGTACACAGCCAGCTGTGAAAAGAGATAAAAAAATAAATTTTTCGTACTCTGGGAAGATAAACAAGTTTCAAAATAACAGTGACATTTGCTCTTAGTCATTTGACTGGTTTTTGTTTGTTGTTCGTGAGCTAAGTAACCCTTTTTCTTATAGTAGGATACTGATCAGGCCAAAGATTTATGAGGTACAACTTCCTTATTGACCCTTTGTCAAGCCCCGCCCTCCTTAGTTACTGTTACTAGGTTAAACAAAATCCCTTTTTTGCCAGGCTCCTTGACATTGAAAAGACTCGGCCCACGGAAAAGTCTGTCTAACTGGAAGTAGCCCAGCAACGGTTGCTATGAGAGGGGGCTCTCTGATTGGGCCAAGGGTCAATTGGCTCGATTCTAATCAAAATTCGATATGTGACGAAGAAACAGCAGCGAAAAAGTCTACTTTAAAAAAGTGAAGAATTTCCCAAAACTGGAAGTTTAAAAACAAAATACATATTATTCTATAAGCTTACCTTTTGTTGTATTTCTGTGACAGGTGACCAAAGATATTTGTTGCTATGAGGTATGATATGCTGTCTGGCAGGAAGACGATGCCTGAACACAAAGCGAGACAGCAGTGGAGAAATAGCTCTGTGATTTTTAACCTCAAACTGTCAGAGCCTTCATTTGACGTTTTTGGTGTGACATCAGAAGAAAATGGCGGCCATGGGACTTCAGGCAATAGAGCTCAACAGTCTATATTGATTAGGTATGAACTTTTCCGAGATTTTGAGCATAAGAACAAACAAATGTTAGTGTCAATACCTAGATGCCATTTGCTTGCACACATGGTCTTCATCATCCAGATAGGGAGGGCTGCCTCTATCACTGAAATGACCAACGTGGTGAAAAAGGTTGCTCCTGGAAAAAGAACAAAAAACATTTATATTATTATGACATTTCTAAAAAACGAGGTGACATTCAGTAATGCACTGTTTATGTCTACCAGTTGATTGAAAATACCAGTTGCTATAAGTATGTATGGATCCCTCAGGAGGGTCAGCAGAGGAGTCCCTTTTTCCTTCTGTAGAAACGGAAAAGAGTTTTAGAGAGATACCAGCTGGAGTCGTGAAATTCGGAAAGTCGGATTAAATCGATGACATTAGCTGGTTTTACGGTTGTTTTTAAGCCCCATGACTTCTGCTTTATTGCGCTAAACTCCTTCGGAGGAGGTGTGTCTCTGGAGGAGAGCGGAGGCTTAAGTGTGGAGGAGGTGTGGCCAAACAGCAGTTTGTTTTGGTTTCATGCTGGAACTCAAGGGCGACATCTACTGGATCAAGAAGTTGCACATTCTTCCTTAAAAGACGCTCATTTGCACTTCCTTATGTTGTTTCCTCCTCTCTATATCCTCGCTTGTGTTCTTACTCTCTGATGTTCGTAGCTTTGGAGAAAAGCGTCAACTAAGGGAATTGTAAGGAACCAGAGGGTCGTCGGTATGAGTCCCCTTGAGGACCAAGTCTGGAAACTGTTCTGGCAGTTTAAGTAGGTCCCCATGAGAAACTCGTTTAAACTAAATGCTTTTTAAACTGATGGTAGTATATGGAGCTTACAATGGATAAATGTTTGATATGTTAAACAATGTTTTGTAATTCCGGTACTCTACCTCTGTTTGCACCTGTGATGGTTGAAAGATCAGTGACTGTAAACCTGTATGAGGAGAAAACAGGACAATTAGATGCACAAACAACACATCAGAAATTAGCTGTGTTTGATTAACATTTCAGAGCACCTCCACCCAAAACCGCAACGACTGCCAGGACCAGGAACGGACTCATCTTCCCCACAAACTGATACATCAAGCTGCCGAAAGGTGCACCCGCTGCAGGAAGAGGAGGGAGTGGACATGGACTTAACAGTACCACCATGTGGTCAGTAACACACTCGTGTTGATGACATTTCATTCAATTCTCATCAGACTTGGAAAGTTCCCAAATAGAGTACATAGAGAGCATTGTATTTATCTTCCTAAAGTTTACCATCAATACTTTCTTTGTTACTTCTCCTCGTTTTCCAGCTATTTTCATTGGGCACCTGAAAGCAGTGTTTGCATACACACCTATCAACCCCAAAGCCAAACCAGAGAAAGATATTCCCATGGCACGCCCTCTCTCCTTCTCATCTTTGTACATATCGGCTAACATCGCCATTCCTGCAAAACACAAAAGAATATCGATAATGTTGAGAGGAATTTCAATCCTAGATTTCAAACCCATTTAACATTGAACATGAAAGTGTCTTTAGTTATTTTCAGTAAATCTCACCTGCAACAGACAAGCAGGACCCGCCCACACCCTGCACCGATCTGGCCAACAGCATTAAGATGAAGCTCGATGAAAACGCAAACACTAAAGAAACAAACACAAAGACTTTGATTAATAATGTATGAAGGAGAATGTTATGAAAGAAGAGCTGTCGTCTATATGAGGTCAAAAGCGGTTCTTACAGATAGTCGCCAAGACGGTGATGCAGAAGCCAGCACACATCGGGAGGTGGTATCCGATCCTTTAAAACATACAGGACATTAAATCAGAGTCAGGTATGTTGAAGAATAAAGGTTTACATATTCAAGGATTTTATTTGAGTGTTTTTAGGGCGAAACAGAAGTCTTGTGAAAATGAGTGAACTGAGCTGCCTGAATGTCGGCGTTACCTGTCGATGAGCGGTCCAACAAACGGATTCATGAAGAGCTGTACGGGACTTTGGAAAACGCAAACACTAAAGAAACAAACACAAAGACTTTGATTAATAATGTATGAAGGAGAATGTTATGAAAGAAGAGCTGTCGTCTATATGAGGTCAAAAGCGGTTCTTGCAGATAGTCGCCAAGACGGTGATGCAGAAGCCAGCACACATCGGGAGTGTATCCGATCCTTTAAAACATACAGGACATTAAATCAGAGTCAGGTATGTTGAAGAATAAAGGTTTACATATTCAAGGATTTTATTTGAGTGTTTTAAGGGCGAAACAGAAGTCTTGTGAAAATGAGTGAACTGAGCTGCCTGAATGTCGGCGTTACCTGTCGATGAGCGGTCCAACAAACGGATTCATGAAGAGCTGTACGGTGGACTTTGATGCCAACAGCAGTCCCACTTTGATGTTCACTGTGTCCAGCTGATCCCCGGTTTCAGAGCAGTTTGAACCTGGGTTTTGGTGTGGAGGGGTATAAACGACAGATCGTGGTAAGTGGCCGATGAGTGGGAAGTCTGAGCCGTTCCCTGAAGAGAGGATCTGGGCTTCGTACAGGTAACCGGGAAGAATCGGCACTGGCAACAAAGTCAAGAATAATAAACTCTGAATGTCATGTTAGAAATTACATTTTATGATGCGTCATTCTAGTGTTGTAGTCAAGACCACATTAACCGAGCTCAAGACATACCCGAGACCAGAGTGCTCCGAGACTCAGACAAGACCAAGACAATTAGGGATCTAGACCCAGACAAGACCAAGACATTTAGGGATCGAGACCGAGTCAAGACCAAGACCAAGACCAAGACCAAGACCAAGACCAAGGCAGGGTGAGACCAAGACATTTAGGGATCGAGACAGAGACAAGACCAAGACCAAGACCAAGACCAAGCAGGGTGAGACCAAGACATTTAGGGATCGAGACAGAGTCAAGACCAAGACCAAGACCAAGACCAAGGCAGGGTGAGACCAAGACCAAGACATTTAGGGATCGAGACCGAGACAAGACCAAGACATTTAGGGATCGAGACAAGACCAAGACAAGACCAAGACCAAGACCAAGACCAAGACCAAGACCAAGACCAAGACCAAGACATTTAGGGATCAAGACAGAGTCAAGACCAAGACCAAGACCAAGACCAAGACCAAGGCAGGGTGAGACCGAGTCAAGACCAAGACATTTAGGGATCGAGACCGAGACAGACCAAGACCAAGACCAAGAAGACCAAGACCAAGACCAAGACCAAGACCAAGACCAAGACATTTAGGGATCAAGACAGAGTCAAGACCAAGACCAAGACCAAGACCAAGGCAGGGTGAGACCAAGTCAAGACCAAGACATTTAGGGATCGAGACAGAGAAAAGACCAAGACATTTAGGGATCGAGACAAGACCAAGACCAAGACCAAGACCAAGACCAAGACCAAGACCAAGACCAAGCCCAAGACATTTAGGGATCGAGACAGAGTCACAGTAAATGGTAAAATTGCCTTTCAGTGGTGGTCTTGACCTGGTCTTAGTTTAAAATCTGGAGTCCGCCCAGTCCGAGACCGAGACAGGACCGAGACCTTTTCCGAGTAATCTTGAGTACTACAACACTGCTGTGTTGTTTTAAGGGATGTGATGCTGTTACAGCTCAAGGGTGAAAAACAGCCGTTAGATTTTATTGATCGTTATTTAAGATTTCTTCTTCTTTAAAGTCTCTCTCTTTACAGGCTGCACTTCTACGTCGTCTCCTCTCTGCAGCCCGCCTGTCTTTGTTTCGCTCCACATCCTTTTGACTTGACTAGATCATACAAATCAGCACATGGACATCAGTCGAGGAGATAAAATGTAATTACTGAAGATGCCATGTTGTATCTCAGACTGAGTGTTCAGACGGTGTTCAACAAAAGGTGAACGTACCGACCACGGAGAGCAGCATGTGGTCCAGAAACAAGGCGATGAAAACAACAAGCAGAACCATGTTCTTCATCCGGGTCTCCTGCCTCAGCCAGCTCAGCAGGCCTGGTAAGAAAACACACAAGAACAGTTTAATCTGTTATTTAGTCAAAGTTTCCTCTTGGTCTTTCATTCAAATTCATAAACTGGAAAAAGTCATTTTTTTAATGTAAAATAAGATTTTAAAATCTATTTCTCAATCCAGTGTCTTATTCCTTTGATTTGTGAATTCAAATCTGTTGAAATGATGCAGCACAGAAAGTGTTTTCCTGCAGCATCTTCAGGATATTTGAAGATTTATGTAAAAAAAACAACAATTCATTTTGAAAACAGTCTCAATGATGACATGAATATTTCGTTTTTAAAATAAAAGTGCCGCTCAGACTTACCCATATTTGCAGTATGAAGTGGTCGTCGTTCAGTCGCAACTTGATACGCTTGTTGAGAGATCAGTAGTGATCACTCTGCCAGCAAACAGAGAAATGAAGGAAGATAAACTCTGATGCAGCGTGGTTATTACATTGACGTGTGGTGAGGCACTGATTTACAAATATATGAACCCATTTATAGAGTAGCTTAAACTCACCATTCAATTGGCAGCTTGCACATTGACTCCTGGTTGAGTTTCATATCAGCATTATTTACACACACATACTTTGGTGAAGTTAGAAATATATTCACAGATTTGGCACCCAGGAGAGGTGTAGTGTCATGAAAATCATTTTACACATATGTGATCTCACGTTTTTCATACTACATTTCTCAAATTGGAAAATAATACTTTTTTTAATAGCCTATAAATAATTCAATGTTCAATAAAATCCCGTTTGTAAAGTGTAGGGTAAAAAAAAATCCCATTATGAATAAATGTCCTCCTGCTCTATAAACTACATCACGTTGCTTTGGATAAAGGGCTTTCATGTAATTTCAGTGATTTTTTGTCATTAAATTTGGTAATAAAATATGTAATAACGGTACTATTACATGATGTAGTGCCATCAAACTCACAACACACACAAACCATGTCCTCTTGATTATACTACAACTCTTAGTTTGGTAAAATGTGCTTTAGCTATTACAATTTGCTTCCATATAACTTCAAGGTTTTCTTGATAGGCATAATTATCAATAAAGTTACTATTATAAGTTATAGGGTGACAATAACATCATCACATATACTCCATATCATGTTGTTTACACTACAGCACTTGGCTTGGGAATTTTGGCTTTCACTCAATTCTGAGGATTTCTTTTACCTACCAAAAACAACATCATTTCTTTCCAATTCAGTTTTTAGTAGCAGTACTCAGTTTGAACAGTAGGGGTCTCTTTTAGCCAAAACTATGACACTCAGTTTGGAAAATGTGTTTTTGCATAATTTAAGGGATTTTTTAACATGGATATCCTTAAAAAGGCTCTAGGGTCACCAACAAATGTCATCACACATAAAGTAAATCATGCTTAATGCTTTTATATAACTTTGACCTTTTTTTTGCCATATATGGCAAATCAAAAAACACACATCTTTGCTCCTTAACTGAAATGGGAAAACAACTTTTATTAAACATTCTAGTATGACACGCATATAAATATGTATATATATATACATATATATATATAAATATATAGAGCTTCTCAAATAGCTTCATCACTTTATTGGTTACAAGTCTAACATAAAACCAAAATCTTTTAATTTAGATAGGAATAAATGTCTGTATTTGAAAGAACAATTGAGATTTGTTAGATATTTACAAATAGAAACGATACATTTAAAACAATGGAAATATATTTTGCCATATATGGAAAAAAATAGGGTCAAAGTTATATAAAAGCATTAAGCATGATTTAAATGTTTTATTTACTATTTACTTATTTTAATGATAGAAAATCAGTAAAATTACATTTATGCACATTTTACCAAACTAAGAGTTGTAGTATAATCAAGAGAAATGGTTTATGTGTGTTGTGATGATCGCTTTAAAATAAACATGTATATTATGTAAAATAATAGCATGCATCATTAAATACCATGATTCACATTTGTTTAAGTAACAGTTTTTAATACTAGATTGTGAGAAATACTGTGTATGTGTTATTAGAGGAAATATGCGAATTCAGCGATTTTGATCATGAAAATGATTGAAATTTTTGGAATCGTAATAATAAGATTTATAACACAGATCAGTAGAAAAAAAAAATATTTATTCTATTTAATCGTTATTTGTTTTTTAATTTGATGATGACAGGTGATTCAGACAGCACGTCTCTAAGTTATTTAAATACACAAAGTCTTAATGACCTGATTGTTCCAGCTTTACTGAGACAAATACATGCATGTGAGCAGGGTGCTGCACCCATCTGTGCAGCACCCTGCTGCACAGATGGGCACACTGGCCACACTGCTTTGTGATAATGGAAAAGCTTTTAATATATAATCTTACAAGACTTACAAGTCCTTTATGACCTCCTGTTCACAACTGACGAGTCCACGGTAAAAAAGATCAAGGCTGATTGGGAAAGCGAATTACAAACCAACCTTTCTGAGGATTTCTGGAAAAAGGCTCTTGGGGCTGTTAATTCTTCTTCTAGCTGCACTAGGCTGTCTCTCATCCAGTTTAAAGTGCTCCACACACTTCATTACAGCAAATATAAACTCTACAAAATATTTCCGGATACAATTGATGAAACTTGTGGTAGATGCTCTCAGGCTCCTTGCAACCTGACTCACATGTTTTGGTCCTGTTCTAAATTAGTTAATTATTGGCAGTCCTTCTTTAAGTCCATCTCCGACATTTTAGGTATAAACATCAATCCATCCCCACATATAGATATTTTCGGGAGGTCTCCTGACGAGCTTGCCACCTCGACCACTCAGGACAATGTTATTGCTTTTGCCTCTTTAATTGCCCGCAGGAAGATCCTTCTCTTATGGAAATCTTCACAACCTCCTTCCTTCAAAGGCTGCACGATGTCTTATTTCTCCTTAAGTTGGAGAAAATTAAATTCTCTCTTAGAGGGTGCTCTGATAGGTTTTACACTCACTGGTGACCTCTGCTTCAATATTTTGAGAAACTCTCACCCGACGAGGTATTGTAGTAGTACACCATCGCCTGCTGATACTGATCCTGTCCTCTCCTGCCTGTCCAGCTGCATTCCTGTCAATGTTGTTTCTTCATTTATTTATTAATTTTTTTGTTTATGTTTGTCTCGTCAATTTTCATTATTATTTATTTGTTTTTATATTTTATTTATTCTTTCTGTGAAGTTTTCCAATCTTGCACTTTTATTCTTGTCTTTAAACTAAGAGGCCTATTTGTTGGTCTGGGAGGGTTGTTTACAGGGCGAAGGGATACTGGGTTTTTGAATGTTTCTGAGGGAAAAAGAAAAATGTTGACTGCATCCCAATTGCACTGCATGTTTTGAACTTGCTTTAATAAAAATATGTTTAAAAAAAAAAAAGACTTACCAAGTCTTCATCAGGGAACGTTGACTTCCAGTGGCAGCTCCCACATAAACAGATCAGCAGTGGTTAACTGTCACTGGTGGCGCTGAGAGGGCGTGTGTGTGTGTGTGTGTGTGTGTGTGTGTGTGTGTGTGTGTGTGTGTGTGTGTGTGTGTGTGTGTGTGTGTGTGTGTGTGTGTGTGCATCATCAGGTGAAGGACATCAAGCACTCAGCATCGTCAGGGTAAACAAAGTCTTTAAAGACAGCCTCTAACTTCAATATTAACAAAAACCATTTAAAAAACCACACACTTAAATAGTTCCTCGTGCACACTGGAAATAAATCACCTGCAGAGAGAGAGAGGAGCGTTTGAGGGGAGGCGAGGGAGGGAGGGGTGTTAGTCATCTCACAACAACACATACAGAAACGGGTCGAAGTATGTAACCATAGACTGTAAATACTACATTACATTTGGGTGAAGCCTGAGTGACGTTACCCGTCTGTTCCTGCAGGAGGCTCATCGGCAGCAGCCGCCATGCTGGAAATGCTGTCTCAGTCTAACTTTCAACCTAACGACAGGCTGAGAGCTGGAGCTGAGGCGGGTTTTAAACCTCCTGACAAACCGTTACACCGCGCCCACCTGTCAATCAGGTCAGCTACACGCCTTATTGTGAATAACTCTTATCCTTCATCAAATCAAAACTGATGAGTCATCAAAACATTCACCCCCCGTACAGTGTGTGTCCATCCAGACATGAGCTAATCACACCTGTTTGGTTTTTTGAACCAGGCTGTAAACATGTTCATCTCTGCTGTAAAAACAGGCTTTTTAGAATGGGTGTGTATGTGACTTCCTGTGCTTCTGCAGCCAGCCTCTAGTGGACACTCGAGGAACTGCAGGATTTTGCATTTCCTCATTGGAAGTGTTTCCCCTCACTCTCTCCCGGGTCATCGCTCTCATTTTGGGTTATGACTTCTTGACCACGAAGCAGAACACAAGTCGGACCTCTCCTGTGTTTTTGGGTTGTGGGATCTTTCCTTGTATCCAAAGAGCTCTCTGTCTTTGAAACTCTAGTTTGTGAAGAAGCACTCCTCATCCATCTCATCGGCTTTTTGTCTTCATTTAAGAACTTCAACTTCCTTCTTCATCAAGAGCTCACTCAACATCCTGTCTGGTCTTTGAATCCCCCCCCCACCTGGAAAATGTTGCTAAGGAAAGGGATGATCTTAGTCGACTCACTTGGCCTGCTGCCGCTGCGACATGTTTCTTGTTTCTGGTATTCTATCATACGCTGGTGAACATGCGTTATTCAGGAGTGAGCTTATAAACTTTAGTTTTCTTTTTAAACTGGAACAAACTGATCTTTTAACACACTGTAACTCGACATGGTTGTGCTGTTTGCGGATGTCGTAAACGATACATCATTAGCTTAACTGCAAAGAAGCTATCACTCAGTACACAAATATTTGATGTGTACTCGATGTTTTTACCTGATTGTTTGTTTTGGTGCTGATTCAATTCCTCAGTTTTAGAGTGTACATGCACCATTAACCGATGAGAGATAGGAGCATGTGCCAGCCTCAGCAGCATGTTGATATAGTAACATTATATTTGAATCAACTTAGAGGAGCAATCAGTGAGATGTGTAGAGAGTGAGATGATAAAGGTATCTTACTCTCTGATCATTAAGGAAACATGCTATGTTGAAGTGCTGGCTTCTCTGACAACAATGCAGCAGCCAGTATGTCCTCCTTCTAACTTTAGATTCTGCTCCTGAATGCTCTGGATTTGTTTGGACCAGAGAAGGTAGGCGCTTTTAAGAGACCCCCCCCACACGGCCGTTTTGGACGCCCCTCGGTTTGCCAGATATGAGAGCAGTTATCAGGTCAAACCAACAAGAGAAGTGGTTCAGATAGAAGTGATTGTACCCGACCTAAAAAGCCTCTGCA